GAGCCAAGGGCTTCGAATCCACATCTTGGTTCATGTCCAAGCAATATTAGAATCACCAGGGTGTGTTATAGCCGTCCTTCATTCTCTCAGTGCATAGTCGTCGTTTTGCTTCCAGTTGCCTCATCTCTCGACGTGGCCACACCTCGAGGTGTCTCGCATTGGGACGCACCTGTTGGGCTCGGCCTTCTTCCAACAGGCAGCACCGGACCTGGGAGTCGTACTCGATGTGAGGGAAGACGATGGGAGTCGTGCCCCCAACGCAACCGGTAGCCATTGGAGGTCAACCACCGGTAGACCGGGTGGACAAAATACAATGCTCTTTCCAGGGATGGGTGGATGAGCTTGCCACTGCAAGACTGTGCTTGTGCTGTGGTAGAGAGGTGTGCAACTGTATTTTTTCCAAAGACTTGCTGAGGCTGCTAAGATGTCTCTCCCTCAATATCAAAGAAGATCCGGAAGGAACAAAGTTGTGTCACTTGTTCAGATCTACAATGAGCTGTGAGCAAATTGTTGTTTGTTCATGTTTGTTCCTTTGTCAATCCTTGTTACATAGTTGTGTGGAGTATGATGCACATGTTTGAGCAAGTGTTTTGGTGCGACCCCTTTTGGTCCACACGTGGTCCACCACCCAACACGTGCCTCCCAGGTGCCCACACCGGCCGGAGGCAAAAAACCGGCAGGTGGGCGGTCAAGCGGGCCTTGCCCGAGAACGGAAGTTTTGCTTCGGTTCTCATCGTGGCGATGTTAGAAGATGACGATTAAGACTTTGTCACCACCCTAGATGTATTTTCCAGATTTAAGACTTTGGGACATTCATGGAAATCAAAATCACTGCATGCCAAGTGCATGAGAATGATGCTGGATAAGATTGATCTTAGCCACGGCCAAGAATGATTCTTTCACCTGGCCGACTGGAGGGGGGACTAACTCTCAGACAGCAGGAGCAATCAAACCTCGACGTCAGAAGACACGCCTCTTCCGAACACTGTTTTTCCGCAAGCAAGACGCCCGTATGCCATAGTCAGTTTCTCATTGTGTCTCATGGTCATGGCCCGTATGCCATTTGCCGGTAACAACCTGTATGCTGCGCTTGAGCAACCTGGTTTGGTTGAAAACAACACAGTTTTGGATGTAGACACTGCTTTGAATGTTAATGTTTGTTTAAGCTTATGGAAGGTGCTAGTATCGGGCCCCACCAGAACTCCCGTGGCCTTGAAGATTCTGGATGACAATGTGTCAGGCATTTAGGAATTTTGTGCCATGGACTTGTGTGTGTGTGTGTTGGATTAACTACCAATTCTTAAGGGCGAATAGTCTAGATGTGGATGATGTCGTTGCAACGCTACATGCTGCAGGACAATGGACAAGACCTGTACCGTGAAGTTTAACATAGTTTGACCAAATACAACAAGACAATACCATGTTGACAGAAGCTCTGCGAATATTTCCTCATGTTTTGTTTCAGAATGGGGTTGATGTGTGTGAGAGACAGCTTTCTCTTGTACACTGGATTTACATGTTGGGGCAACTATTCTGTCAAGAACATCCACTCAAGTATGGGGTCGACTAATATCAAAAACCCTTGGAACTCCTGGCTGTTCGCTGTTCCGCTCAGCCGTTCGGCTGCGTGGCAGCTGAGACTTCCCCCACTGCCAGGTGTGGCCATGGGAGTGCTACAGCCCACAAGCCTGGGAATCCTGGCTTCTCACCGCTTGGACGTTGGGGAATGGTTATTTTTCCCGCTGTTGCCTGGGAGTTTCAAGGAGTTTCAAGGTCTTTCCAGCAGGTGTTCATGTCGAATTCTGGGAGTCCAACGGATGTTGAAAAATGGAGACAACTTTGCTAGTGGTTTCCCTCCCTTCTTGGTCCTGACGGGACCCGTTTCTCCCCTCGTCCCTCGTCTCGCCCTCGTCCAGCGTCTCGAGGCCCTGCAAGCTTGCTGGTGGCGTTGGTGCGCTACAACTGAGCGACCTCAGTTGAGTGTGTGGTGGGTCGAGTGGTACGAGTCAACGATAAGATGTTCAGGAACAGTTGGAGTGCGTTGGAATGCCAAATGGCTGTTTTTTTAAACACGATTGTAGAGATCCCTAGGGATCCCTAGGGTATAGAAGATGGGCTGTTGGCTCCAAGTATGTGCAGAGTGAATCAGCATGGAAGAGGCCTTTGGGTTATCTTTGGTTTGTTCATTCATGAAATCCGAAGGAAAGACGGACCTTCCGATCCATCAGCTAGCAATTCTTCAGGAGACCAGCGATCCATCAGGATCTCAGATCAGAACTCTGAGCCAAGTAGAATCCTCCTCAGCACACGAAACATTGAACAAATGCTGATTTGTGATGTTGGTGATTGGTGCTTGCGTGCTTTAAGACCTGCTTGCGTGTTTGGCGCTTCTGCTTAGAGACTGCGGAGGTGGAGTCATTCAAGGGCCAGCACCCTGAGCAGCCTGTGCCAGTGGACATCCAGGCCGTGTTCCCCGGAGTTCTGGGAGTGCCTGTTTTGATTGGCTGTATAATTTTGGTTGTTTCGCGAGGCAGTCCTGAATTCATATGGGCCTGCAACATCCTGCAACATATAGGCTCAACATTTGTGGAATATATGGTGGTCTCGCAGTGTAGCACCCCAACCGTCTATGTTTTGGCAGCATCACTCAGCTAGGCGGTCGGCGTTTTGCTCCCATTTGGGATCCCAGTTGATTGGTTTTGGTCATGGTCCCAAGATCTGCAAGAATTGTGTCGTCGTGTTTTCTCACCGTGTGCTGTTTGGCTGCCAGGGCAACACGGAGACGACGATTCTCTACATCCCTGGGCACTTGCGCGGCATTTTGCGCGAGTGCCTCGCCACGCTCTCTGGTGGATCGCCAACCTAATAGAACCCGGAGGAACAGAGCTGAAACTTGCAAGTACGGGTACCGGTATGGGCCATGAAACTGTTGGAAGTACTGTTGGACAGCAAGGGCGGATAGCAAACACCTGCTGGCAAGGGACAGAGTTGCAGCCTGCATCAGTTCCCTCAATTGGGTACTTTACATTACTTTACTAGTTTTGTCTTGAAACTGCCACAGACAGACACCATGATACAAGTTTTGTCATTTGAAGAAGCCACTGGCTCCCTTGGTGGCCTGGTGGGGGCGTTTGATGTCTTCAATCTATGGAAGGAAATCTAAAGAAAGTTTCGATTTGGGGACCTGCAATCTGAGTGTGTTTGTTTTTGTATGTTTTTGTGACTTTGTGTGTGTAAGAAATCCAGGCACAGATGGTGTCATGGCAGTTGGGTGGAAGTGCACTGACGGGACATTGGATGTTGCCCCAGCTTTCAGATGGACAACTTTTGTGAAACTGCCATACCATGAGGTTGGTGCGGATTGCTTGGAGACAGGATTATCCTGGTTTTGTGACATACAATTAGTGTTGGTGCAACACCAACTTTTGACAGGATAGGAAAACAAGAGAACCCTCAAAAGAAACGCAGGCTTCCTGCGGTCCTGCGGTCCGACAGACCACTAGTACTACATACGATCATATACGATCCTGCATCAGACCATCCATCTCTATGACTGCAAACTTTGGTTTTGGTCAGGGTCCTGCACAATGCCATGCGGGAGACTGCAAGCCATGCGGAGGCAGGTTGGTCTCAGTGTTCGAACACTTGCCGTCGCACTGATTGAAGTTGCTGTTGTTTGTACTGTACATAATCTGATCATATGGCTTATAGATTGTGGGGTTTCATAGTCAAGAAACAGAAGTACACCTCGACATGGAAACTGAGCCGTGCCCTTTGACGGTAATGTTCATCTACAAAAACAGGGTTTCCACATGGACTTACTGCAAGCCTCATATGTCAGGTACAAGTATATACCTCACCTGTCAATTGTACAGTTGCATGGGATGGGTTCCTTGTGTGTCGGCAATGCTTGAGGTATTGTTTTTTAATTAAGAGGCATCCAAAAGAAAACACACAACAAAGACGATGCTGAAGATTCCAAAGATTGTTGATTCCAGATGCTTCAGCTTAAAAAGGCTTCAGGTCAAACCATTGGCATATCAATCAGGACTGCACAAATGCCCGCCGAGCCATAGCACAATTGTTTTACAAGCTATGCACATAATAAGCCTTGAAGGGCGGATCCCTGAGACTTCTTTGCACATAGCATTGCTCTTTTAAATTCTATTTATTGTTTCTAATAGCTTCATGTTCCTAGTAGTAAGGCACTTGTTACTAGTAGCGATGCATTTGTTCCTAGTAGCTTATTGTTTCTACAGATGCTTGTAGGCTATAGCATTCAAAAAAGTCCAAGCTGTGAGTCCAAGCTATCACGCTGTCACACGATCGATATGTTTAATTCCTATCAGTCGAAGTAATTGACGTGCTATTGGATTGTGCGGTCACTTGTTTGAGAGTTGCGATTACTGTATATCGAAATGCTACTGGATATTGCCGCTTGTGCATGGGTAGAATACCTGTATATAGTACCCCAGATTGCCGGGACTGCTGGTTCCTTTTCGCAGACCCTTGGCTCAAGGCCAAGAGCCTTAGAGCCTTTGAGCTGTACAAATCTTAGGGGGGTGTATTTTTTAGCCTCTTGGGCCCCTTGAGAGGAATCCCTTGCCAGCTGACCTCTCAGCATGGGGTTTCAAAACTTGAAAACTGATGAGCCATGAAGTCAGCCGGGACCCAGATGTGCTGTACTCTTTGACCGAGGTCCTTGTTCTTTGTTTCAGAATTGGGACCGGAAGGAACCACCCAAAAGACTGTTTGTATGGAAAATATAGACCATTAAAAAATATGACATCACACTGACGGGGTTTTCGGATCCGGAAAGCACATAGACAGAGTCCAATATCAACCTCCACCAGTCGTGCAAAGATATGTTGGTGCGAAAAGGTTCATGGATTCCATGGCGGGAGCTTCACAAGGTTTGCTCCTCCTCCCGTCCACTTTCGGTGGACTCCACTTCCGGTTCGTCCGATCCACTCTGAAACCCATGTGGTGCCTGGCTGGCGATGGTCCCGGTCTTGGGGAAGTCCCAGCGGACTCGGATCGGCATCTCAGTGAAAAGAAAGAGGTTTGGAGGGCAAAACAGCCAAGTCGAAGGGACGGTTTGAGCCCAACCGGGCTGGATCTTGGGGTTTGATTCAGAAGCTCAACGGAACTTTCAAAGGCCTTTGAGTAGATCAACAGTGATTGAGCCTACCCAAAGCATTCAAGGTAGTTTAACTCGGTTGAAGTAATTGGGGAATAGTGCTCTCTTGGATCGGATTTGCGCACTTGATTCGTTCAGCTTCAACCACTCTTCCATACTCTTCCTGTACATCTGTGTTTTGTTTCAGAAGCTATGCCAATTCCTATAGTATGGCTATCAATTGTGAAAACTGTTGTTTTTGTGTGTACATCCTTGTTTTGCGTTCTTTTGCCATTGGTTTTGAGCCTTCAGAAGGCGACCAGAAATTCACTGCGTCCGAATGAGTCCCGGTTGGACAGAAACGGCCGACCTTCCGGTCGTTGGTGAACGGGGAGTCGCTCCAGGCTCCGAACGGCGATGAACGGAATGGAACGGCTTAGGTCACAGAACTCACCATGAGCAGTCCACTGTTGCAGAACTGCATGCGGACGGGGACGGGGACTCAACTAATGTTCAACCAGGAACTTGTCTTTTCCACAGACCATCGTGGTTCCTTATAGCCCGCCCTAACCGCCAAGAATTCAACGGCGACGAGACCTTCACTTACTTCCAGCGGCCAGCAGAAGGTGAGGCAGTTACACTGAGTGGATACAGAAGGTTTGGAGTTTTCGCTTGGAGGGTCAAACAAACGACGCATCAATGTCCACTCCGCCCATTACAAACCCATAACAAGCATCGATGAGTCGGCATCCTCTTGCCATATACAGGGCCTGTATGTGCGTGGAAAACATGAACAGGGATAGTATGTGAGTGAGCTTGAAATCGTTACGACTATGACACCTCAGCGTTTCCCCTTATTAGGTGGATTCTCCCAGAGCTTTCCAAGCACGAATAGCGCGAACTCGACATATATATGTTGATTTTTGTCCGCCCACTCCTGCAGAGTTAGACAAACTCATTCAGGTCAAAGACTCAGACATTGCAGGAGCCCCGGTAGGTTGACTTAGTTTGATAGCAGGTGTAGGTTGCAAGTTGTTGCGATCCCTGACGTCCGCGGTTCTTGCGTGTTTTTGGTTGGAAGGGACGGTCCATCCGGTCGGACGGGTCAAAGCATTCTTCAATCGGATCGAATCCGATCAAATCTGCAGATGCCATTTTCAATGGAGAGCTCTTCAAAGAGAAGGCACCTTGGTCGGGATTTGATATGTGCGACGCCGGTTCGATTCTGGATGAACCAATATTTGCCAGGCTTCGATTTGGGATGATATGATTTGGCTGGGGTGTACAACCCAGGCTGAGAGAATGTCCTGTGGAAGAGGATTCTGTCCATGTATTGGGGATGTACAGTACGTCTCAGAGGCCGCGTGTAGGTTCACTGGGTCGACCGTTCACTGGGTCGGGCCATTGATTGATTGGGCGTTCACCAGGACATCCTCAGCCGGGTCCATAGTGTGTTGCCTCAGTGATTTTGCGTGGGTGCAACTCGAAAATGCCCGCCACTTTGGCTCTAGTGATTAGTGCAGTATGCATGTGTTTGAGAGGAAACTAGAATGAATCAGTGCTTCAACTTGGACATGTCCTGCTGAAGAAGCATTGGTGGTTTAGTCATTTCTGTTCGGTGCCATTAGCGGTTGGTCGAGGGATTTAAGTGGCGCGTGGTGTGTCACAGGCATCATAAGTGTTTTGGACCTTCAGATGGTTTCCTGGTTTCGTCTCGGTGTCCTTTGTTGCCTGTCATAACCCGGGCTCTCACCTGTGCCGGCAGATGATGGAAGGCTTTGAATACTGGTAATTACAGATTGAACGCTTCAGAGGCACATAGGTGCTTTGTATATTGATGGATATTCAATTATATTCATGCTATATTTATGGCTCCAGCCAGGATGTTGAAGCAAGGTTTTTGGTCAGAAGACCTTACAATTGCTGTGAAACAGCGGTGCGTCGACTCAGGAGCGACAGTTTTTGAAGAGGAATATGAGGCGACGGGGGGAACGGTGAGTGGTAGCAGCGAGGCACGGAGACGAAGGCAGAGACCAGGCACGGAGGCGAGGCTCTCTCGTCTCGTGAGATATAGATCGCATGGGTTTGTTGGGTTTGGGGAACTCTCCCAGTAGACCATATATATATATTTATATATGAATGCATACATACTTGCGACACAATAGGCTGACAGAGCAGTTGCCATTTTCTTTTTGTCGGAGAGGTTGCACAACGTCTCCTTCCCCATCGGCCACCAGCAAACGGTGCAAATTGAGCTGAAGAGCTTCTGGCAGAAGGAGTCCATGAATCTGAATCGTATCTTGGTCGATCTCAGCGTCCAAAACTCCTTCTGGTCTGTTGAGTTTCCTTCCAGTCCATGAAACTGGTCATATTGAGTGTCCTTCCGGCCGCATCGCGGCACAGCCAAACAGGCGCCGCCGGGCCGTTCGGACGTGGTTGTTGGATGTGAGTTGGTCACACCCAAACAGACTAAACCAACGAGTTTGATACTCTATAGTTGAGCTGATGAGTGGGTGCTTTTGGAGGTGGGGTGTATAAATAGATAAATGCAGCCCCCACACCCGCGATGGAACAGTTGCGGTTCTTTGCAACAGGTATATATCATTAAAGGATCTGATCTAAATGTCTAAATGCCATAAATGTAGTCAAAGGAGTAGAAAGGGGGTGCACTTGCCCCGGCAGGCGTCACCTTCCAATCAACTAGGTGCTTCGACCCGACTTCACTCGTGGCCTTCCGGTCGTGGCCTCACTCCGGACTCCCCAAAGGTCGGGGCCTCCGAGAAGGGCGCTTCGTGACACTGCTCTCGGACCAGCGGCCGCCCATCGAGGACGCCTTGGCCTGGGTGAAGTGCTTCGGCCCATCGAGTCGTGCACCGAGCACCCGAAAAATCCCGGAGGTGCTGAACGACTCGGGGTGGACTCCCGGGTCACCGCCAGACGTTCCAGGGGGTTCATCCCCAAAGGGTTGCGCCCTTGGGTCTTGGGCCAAGACATGGAGTCCTTGGTGATGGGAAGTCCACCAAACAGGTCCCATTGAATCATACTGTACCGATTGAAGACATCCCGTGATCGATACGAAGATCGTCACAGACTCCTGGGATCTTCTGGGTGACCCGGTTGTGGCGGTCTTAGAGTGAAGCTGAGTACACAGCAAGCAGAGAGATTGAGGGTCTGGCCGGTTTGGCCACATCCAGCTTTTTGCCTTTTGTTCTACCAGAGATACTTCGAAGTGACCAAAAAGGGATCTTGGCCCACGGGGCTGAGTGTTGGACCAAGAGACTATGCCATGTCTTCAAAGTCAATCCCAAAAGGTCTGAAAGACCGGGATACTTGGGATACTTGGGATGTCTCCTGGCCTCCAATCTACGGCGACACCCGCGAACCCAGGCTTGTATGGCCATTGTACCTCGGACGTGGAAAGTCAGAGTTCGTCGCCCTGGTGAGCTTGATTCCACACTGGAGACAGGATTAATGATTACATTGATTACATGCTGCCAACGGCTTGAACACCACGAGTGCAGTTAAAAGGGGTGGGTCGTCGGGCAGGGTTGGCATTATAAAACGCAGTACATACTTTCTGCATAGGTATTTTAGCTCTTGGAATTGCCACTTTCTAAGCACTTTCAGTGCAGCAACACATGTGAAAACACGGGATCTACCTACTACTTTTCTCGCTGTATGATGGCTTCGACCACCACCACACACGCAGCTTTCAATCCGCCGGGATGTCTAGCTGCATTTCATGGTTAAACGTGTTCTAATCTAATTTGGTTTGGTTATAGACATAGGTTGGTTATATACATGATTCAACATAATCAATTGGTTACTATTGATATTTATTGATGCATGATTGCATACATGGCTACATTCAACACTGGACCCTTTGGCTACTTTGATTCAACATTTATATTATGTTATGCGTGCTTCCGGACTCCAACAGACTCGATGCTGGGGCAAGAGCGTTTTGGGAGGTTGGAGCAGTGCCCAAAAGAGAGTGAATCACATACTTTGAGCGACCGGGCCCAAAACGCTCCTGAATTTGTGACTGCCTGGTCCAAAACCAGCTTAAACGAACCGAAGATCTCCCAGGTACAAGAAAGGTTTCTCCGTGCTGTTGCTGGACCTCCCTGGGGCGGGTGGCAGCGGCGTCAACGCAGATCCGCATGTGAGCTACGAGCTTTGGGAGCAGGAGGACTTTCGGATTGTGGAGAGCGCTCTCCGCCACTTGTCCGGTTTGGTGGTTTGTCAGGTTGGGCAGAGCACGGGCAAAGAGCTGGAGATTGCGTAAGGACGTTTGAGAGATGGTTTCAGATTTGATAGATCTAGTTTTGAATGTGTTCTGAACGTGAAACGAGGAGTTTGCGCGTGTTTGCATGATGTGCGCATGCAGAGATAGTGTGTTTTCATTTCAGCAGGTCCGAGTTTCTTGTTGTCATTTGCATTTTGCGATACTTTGTGTATTGCATATAATTTGTATGCTTGCGTTTTGCACGTTGGGGGTTATTGATGATCTTTGTGGAACATGAAGTCAGGTTTGCGCACAGAAGATATAGTACATATACAGACTATATACAGTATATATATAACCACCGCACATTCAACACCTTCCAGATTGCCTTCCTTTGGCTGAGGTGGATTGAGTGTGACACGCACTCACTTGATTGCCCCTTGGCAGAAGATGTTTTCTTGCCTCGCAGAGTGACTCAAAATACATACACCGTCACGTGGACTGGTGATGAATCAAAACCCCAGGCCTGGATGCTGTAGAAACCATCCTTGCTCGTGATTCGTCGTGATTCGTCGCCGGTCCTAGATCAGTTGCTGGGTTCGCCAGGCTAAGCGGCTAGACGGTACATGCGACCGTTTGACTTGTGGACCGGGACATGGTTGCATGGTGGCTGTGTGGCCGTTGCAACAACAGATACATGTCGAGTTAAGCCACTGGACCTGCTACCCCACTAACCTACTGCTTACCTCCATGGTGATTTTACGGCATGTTGCTTCTTGGTTAATTGGTAGATCAATGCGTCAATCCACCAGGCTATTTGGGAAGTTGATGTGTTTTTCCTTTTGGTTGACCCCTCAAAAGGGCGATGTCGGCGATGTGCTCTATATCGGGGCAACATGTTGCGTCTCACTCCGACACCTACCAACACGTACCTTTGCCGGTGTTCTCCACACCTCGCGCCCCATCGGTCCGCCAGGCCTTTGGTCGGTCCTGTCGCATCATACTGAAGTTTGTGGCCTGGACGCAGAGCAATTAGGTGATGAAATCAGCGACAAAAACCGACTGAGCATGTCCTATAGACAGAGGTCCTATATGCTTTTGTGTAGAATGATCATCCACATATTCCACGCTTGCTACTGCTACCTGCTACCTTTTTAAGCAACCTATTTTAAGAAGTTGTATTTTCTAAAATCCCAAGGAACTCGTGGCAAGCGTAGGATGAGCATCTTAACGAAAAGCGTAGGATGAGCATCTTTACGAAAAGAGGTGTTCGGGCTTTGAGCGCTTTTTGCTGAGGCGAAGCATGCTCAGATCGATGCCTGGTCCAGTTTTGTTGCTCCTCGACAGCCAAATGAGAGAGTTGCTTTTCTTCATGTCCCTGTGCTACGCAAGCGTAGAAGAGAGTCAAGGGTACATAGTACCATATAGTTAGCCCATGTTAGCCCCTCGACCCGACAGTGTCAGACAGCGCGGTCCATGTCTGGAACCTGCACAGTTTGTATTTACAAGACACGTGATCGCCATATGAGTTGTTTTCTTTTTTTTGCAGAGCAACTACTGGGTGGCCAACATATGGAGAATATGTCAGTGCAACCCCCGAAAACGGGTAGATGAATATGATGTGTCAGTGAGTCCGTGCAATCCCTTATGCTTTTGAGGCAAGTCGTGGAACATGTCCCTTCCAAATTTTGTGTGATGACGGCGGACAGAACGATCGCAAACCTGATCAGCATAAAGTTGCAAGTGGTCTGGCCTGAAGACTGGATGAGCCTCATTTCCATAGCAAGCTACAAATTTATACAAATCAGTTACAAATCTATACAGTATATTTATTTGCTGAGCATGGATTCAGGTCCAATTTCAGCACATGAAGAGTCGACTGAGGCGAAGGAGCATTGCTGGTATCAGCCCGACATTGACTTCTTCGCAACTTGGCAAGTCCCTGGTGCTCAAATCCGAAACAATGTTTGTGGCCCATCCCTATATAAACCACCACTTGGCTGGTTTGAGCCAAGAGCCTTGCTGGGGATGTAGTACATTGTTTTTTTTTCCTACAAGCCTAATCACAAGCTTTCTTGTGGGGTTTTGTACCTTACCAATGTGGTGCTGTTTGGGTCACAAGCATGTTTAACCTGGAGGTCGAACGAGGTCGAACGAGTTGCTATGGTGGGATACGTTTTTGTTTCAATTGTTTACCAGGCGGTGTGGTTCGCGCCCTGGACCATTTGCCTGAACATATGATGATAAAGTTAAAGTATCATGAAGACAGCATATCCGGATGCAGATCCAAGAGCCCAGCAACCCTTCTTCAAAGTCAGTGTACCGACCCTTTTGAGGTGGCTGCAAGTAGTAACAATGGCAGCTCACCACATGCGAAATCGACCTTCCTACCATGTCCCCTCCAAGTGGCGTTATTCTTCAACACAATGTTACTCCTAGTCACCTTGTTGAATTAACTGGCCACCCTCACGGCTGAGGCCCTCTTCCAAGAGGAGCTGGGGGACTGTCCGCCAGGCCATGTCCAGGACACGTGTTCCCTCAGCGCAGCGACGCGGCGTGCTGTTTTGACCAGGTTCCATGGACCATCCCGTTCTCGATGAAGTGGCTTTGAGTGAATCATCTAAATCGGAGGGTCGCGGGAAGCAGCGCCATGAACAGGAGTGGCGCCTAGAGGCGGTGAAGAAGCAACAGCACCTCTTCCGGGAGGTGCGGTGGGAAACGTGGGTGCCTGATGCCTAGGGCCTTGCTGCAGGCAGAAAGTTTGGCATGTTAATTGATACTAGAGACTCTCCAGCGTCAACCTCACTGCCAAAACGAGTTCATTTGGGCCATGGCGGCCATGACTGGCCTGGGCCTGAGCACGCTGAAGTTCAGACAAGAGTGGCAAGTTTGTCCACTGAACTGAGTTCAATGGTCCAACTGTTTGAATCCTCAATCAACTGTCAAAGTCGCCTGACACTAAAGTGGAAGATGTTGGTACATTGTCACCCCCAACAAGAATTCAGAATCAGCTTGAACTTGAACTCCACCTTTATAGCATAGAATTCCATAGAAACTCTTCGTTTACTTGACTCATTGTTACTCTCAAAAACAGACCCAGCCCCTCGGTGCAGCAGCAAAAGCAGCTTCGTTCACCGCTGCAGCTCTTGAAATCGCTGCGCCTCATGTCCTTCTTTGACCCAATGGACCCTGCGGTGCAGGCGGGACGCGGCCGGACGTTCGTCGCAACCGATGCTGATGTAAAGGGTTCCACCTGGGCCGAACGCGTGGCGAGCCTAGGCCCTTTTCGGTGTTGGAGTGGTGGAACCCGTGAAAACCTTCAGTTCTGCCAGATGGGAAAGCCTGAAGATGCGGGAGACACTGAGATTCATTCGGGTGTTGGCATCCATGCAAAACAGATGAACAGATGGGCTGAGAGGAAGTGCTTGGGAAGCCTCCAGTTAGATAAGAGGGGTCTACGGTCTAAGCTTGAGGTCCATTTTGCTCATAATGTAGATTGTGTAGATGTGTAAAAGTGTTCAACCTCAGAAATCTGCTTCATGCTTCCACAACGGGTGGCGTTTTCGTTTGGTTTCGGGCTCCACTTTGGTGTCTCCCACCGCTTGTGGCGGTCTCCAGCCAGGCCACGCAGAGCTTCATCCTTCGGGCACGCTCAGTGGAGAGCTGTTTGGCGGAGTTCTCTTCCATCGAGGTCACTGAGGCGACGAGCTCGACGGCGAGGTCGACCGCAGCGGTGTGTTCAGACTAAAGACTACCCGGTGACCCGGTGGGTGCTTCTTGTGGGGATCAATATGGATGTTGATTGGTTTTCAACATGACTTATATTTACTTGTACTATTTTATACTTTGAGATGTATTGTATTGTCTTAATTATATTTGATGTGTGTTGCTTGATCAACCTTCCCAAGGCCCATCATGTTTGGCTGGATAGGACTGGAAAGGAAGTTTGTTCTTCTATTTTGTGAGCCACGGTCACAGAGACACATCATGGGAATGAACAATCCTACCTTCATGTCAGTTCCATAGCTGCACCAGTTTGTCTTCCCCTTTGGTCACCTTCAGGTCTTGCAATTTGATGATCGATGATGATCGATGTGTCACATGTTTTGCTTCAGATTTCCATGTGTTCCCGTCACTGGCGGGACATTTGTGCAGGCGGACATTTGCACCGCGCGCGCGCACGCCAGCTTGCCGGTGAGGCCCCAGCTTGGACCCAGATGCGGGAGTGGATAGCGGTCCTGGGAGTTTGCAGGTTGGTTCCAGTTCTCATTTGGGAGTTGATCGAAAACCCCGTGTAAGGAGTTTTATAGAAAACAGCCTTTCCGATGTTGTTAAAACCATCCGCGAAAGATTCTGGATGAGGTTCGCGATTTTTTTTTCTTGTGCACATGTGTTTTTTCTTTTTTTCGTCGCGAACGATTTAACGAAGGTCATCGCATTCATATGTGTTCCTTTCTACCGGACTGACAACGAATAGAAATACAATGCAATCCTCCGGCAGAGCCAGCGGGCGGAAGTGTCCCCATATGCCATAGACTAACGAACTAAAGCCTCAACATTTCCGTGCCCAGCCCTGGCAGTGCGTAAAGGATTCTCCGATTCACTGTCATAGACTAGCAACCTGAGTGGGCACAGCCCTGACAGTGAGGCAACGACCTGCAACTGCTCTGACGGGCTGTGCAGATGTTTGCAAATGTTCTGGCTTCCCAGGGAAAGCACCGGTGAAATTTCGCGAAAGATCCGCGAAAGCTTCGCGAATGTACCCCTAAAGTCCAGGTTCCCAGCTTGGGGCCCCCCCCCCAACATCACCCTGTGCTGGTAGCTGGCACGAGGATTGGGTTGAGTTGTGCCTGACTCTATTCGGCGCAATTGTCGCACAGATGCTGCAAGTGACCCTGAGTAGCTGTGGAAACGTTCAACCTTCTACTGGGGTCATGGTGCAAGATGTTTGTCCCTATTGTGCGATACTATGATATGTTCCGGCTCATGTTAGCTAGACATGGTTCCATGCTTCGCGATGAGGTCGCGAAAGATCCGCAAAAGATATTTTTTCCGCGGCGAATGGCCATTCCAGGATGAAAGAATATTGATCAACCACCATTTAAAGAAATGGTGTTGTTATGTATGGACATACGTAGACATACTGATAGACGGAATATGGATCAGATAATCAACTGATCCCGAGTTGATGATCCCGCAGGCATACGTATGGACATACGTAGACATACGTATGGACATACATAGACATACTTGAGTTCACGGGTTGGTGACCAAAAGCTGTCTTCATGCGCCGTTCGACCGGATTGACGGGGGTCGACGGGCGAACGTGCCAGGGTGTTCATGCTCTCGAAGAACCTCATGGGCACCATGGGGGACTTTTTGCTGGCCGAGCAGAAGGAGGGGGTCACTTTGACTTGCAGTGAGATATACAAATACTGTACAAAACATTATACAATATTATACAACTATATATAGTTAGTTCGATTGTTTTTAAATCAAACATGAATAACACAGGGCTCAGGACCTGTTACAGGCCACTTGTTACTTCACTTCGCATGTTTCTTGTTTTACTATCAGTGCAATTTACCTGCAGAACAATAAAGAATTCAATTGATCGTCCGAATAATCAGAATACACTAGCCAGCATATCATATTCTGACATTCAGGAACTTGTCGTGTAGAACTGTGGAACCATGCAGCACATGTAGAGACCCATGCGCAGGAGAACCCTTATGTTGCTTCTCGAAATGCAGGTTCAATAGTTCTGGGATGTTCTGGGATACCGGGATACCTACCAAAACATAATGATTTACTGTAATATTTAACAACAACAACCACAACCACAACCACAACCGCCACAACCACAACCGCCACAACCACAACCGCCACAACCACAACGACAACGCAATTTGCATCGATCAACAAAATTAGGATCGGGCGAATCCAGGTCCCTGATCCCGCTGATCTGGTTGGACGGACCCTGGGACCGAGATCCGACGTACGCGACTCGAGGTCTTGCCCACCTACATGCCGCCGCTGGGCTGAAATCTCGTGAAGATTGAGATGATTTTGAGGTGTTGTTTATTTTTACCGGATCAGCAGCTGATATGTCCTGATTGAGTGTCCTGATGTTCAGTTGGTGAATTAGTCTATTCACATTGAAAGAGGAGATGCAAGTTTCTCGAAGTGCAGAACTGATCAATTAAAAAACACACATAAATAACGTGCAGGGTGGATGCGGTGGTTGGATGACCATGTTTCACTTTGTTTCAACCTTCAGGGCAAGGAACCTAGACTATTTGGAGTCCTGTCTCACGGTGTCCATAGTCCATACACAGTATCATGAGTGCTAGCGGTGCGCAACTTATATAGGTTTCTTTCCAGCTGTGTGTTGTAGAGTTCTTTTGCCCGCACTGAAAAATGGACTCAGCCCCCAAGCTGGGTCTATACTCTCCATACTCTGGCCCCGTTGAACGGGGGCTGTCCCTTCTTCCCAAAGCTACAGCCCTTTCAATTCCTGGGGCCCATTTTGGGGGCCATGAAGCTGCACAAGTGCAAGGGTATATTTGGACTACTGGGATTTGGAATGGTGACTTTTTGTTTCTGATAGCTCATCAGCGGCAACATGTTTGAGTCCGACACACACACACATTGATATATGGTCATGTCACCAATATGCCTCCTGATCTTTTTAAAGGCACTCACTCCATGGAGCTTCATCCTGAAGTTGGACAAACACCGACACAACATTCGGCCCATGTTGGAGACCCTTTCGGCCCATGTGTCGATCGATTCGGATCGCCTTCATCTGGCTTTTGGCCATGGCCTTCGAGCGCCCAGGCACCATGCGATACAGGACGAAAGACGGCACCGGATCTGCTGAGGGGGGGGGCCGTACTTGTATGTCATGTTGGCTGTGAGAGATCCTTAGACCCGATCGACTTGGTTTTGACCGTTTATAGTGCATCTGGCACGGATGGTCCAATGGTGATGACTGTGGTCCAGCTAGTACGAAGGTTTGAGCCTAACTAACTAGGGGACCAACGTGGTACTGGTACCGCGGAGCAGAGATGGTTTTTGTTGTGGTCCGCAACCACTTCGAGTCGCTTAGGTTCTTCATCCTGCTCCCGAAGGTGGCATGTACCCTCCCTGAAATCATATGGAAGCAGAACATTGCCCCTTGGATGACCATTTCGCTCCACTTCCATGGTTTTCCATGGTTTTCCACTTCCATGTGAGTTTTCCTCGGAGTACTCCCACATCCAAACTCAGGGGAGTCGGAGTTGGATGTGGTCGCCGCTTCGCAGGGGTGCATCACCATTGGTTGCAGCATCAAAGGCTGAGGCAAACCTAAGAAGATAGGGGGCCAGAGATGAACATGGTTGGAAACGTTTGCCCTTTGTCTCTCCACCGTCCAGTTATAAGCACCTGAACCTGAGTAATGGGACGTGACTCACGTGACCAAACTCACCTGGTTCCAAGTGAATGCCACAGACAGCCACAGAACGGTATTGATTGTGGATTTCATGTGATTTCATTTAAAACCAAATCAAACGCTCGATCCAACCTCAACTGCTTCCGCCAGTCAGGAGACCCTTCAGAGCAGTCCCTGCAAGAGCGCATGTCTCAATCCAGCGAGAGGTCCTTTGGCGTCCGCGGTGATGGACAGGGTGGACGCGTGGGTGGCGAAGAAGGGTGGACGCGTGGTGGGGAACGAGACTTGGTCGATGTGACTCACGTCGATGGTTCCGAAGCACATCTGGTGTCGGACGTCGTTAGTTGTCATCTATACAACTGCAGATGTGTGGCTTCTTCGTTGCATTTTTGGGACATGTCATGCCCCCAGGGGGTCCACAATTGAAGTCCTTGGACCCTACATATATAAGAAGACCACACAAAGACCAGGAGCTCTTTACCTTATTGAGTTACAGATCGTGTTTTAGCGGGTTACCAGGACCTGACTACATGTCGCAAAGTCCAACCTCGGAAAGCTTTTGGACTTGGTGGTGGTGGCACCATACGACGTCTGAGGTTTGCACCATTGGGCCTGCCCGAACCACCCGAAGAACAAGGCAGCACCAAAGGCGGGGAGACCGCGGTGGGAGAAACAGCCGGTCTTGGCGAAGACAACAAAAGGCAGAGGTCCATTGAACCTGTAATACCATAAAACACCTATGTTAACTTATATTGATCATCGATGATAGGTTCATTGGACTGTATTGGTGTTACTTGGTGTTGATTGATGGGTGCCCGCTTGAGATCTCGAGCAATCGGTCATCCGTCCGTTGACGACGGAGTGTAAAAAAATACTATATAAGTCAGGTTAAGTTACATTGAGACATACTGCCTGGAACAATCATGGAATTGGTCAATGGGTCCCTTGAATGATCATTTTCCTCTACAAAAAGGTGGTCTCATCAACTTACTCCATGGATGGAATGTGCAATATGCCTATACTAATTGAACCCTTTTCAACCACCAAAATGCGGCCAAGGAGGCCTTGGCCCATTCTGAGGTCCCGGAGCCAAGCTCGCCGCCCAGTGGGCCGACGGAGGAGGAGCGCGTGCCGCTGGGAACCACCCGCGCAAACGTGCACGACGGCCACGTGGAAGGCGCGAGTTGTGCCCATTCGGGAGCAGTGCATCAGCGGACATGACTGAAGCACATACATTTCTGGGTTTAGTGTTCAGAATGCTCATAGAGGTCCCCGTGTAAGAGCTGCTGCTGAACTTGGCAACAGTGCCTGTGCAGTTTCGGCTTCATTGTCTCTCCACATGTTTGCTGCCTGCCTGAAACAAATGATATTGTTCCGCAATGATGTGAACAGTTTTCCCACGATTTTGCATCGAAGAGACATAAAGCAACTTGTTTTCTACCACACCTCTATATATAAGAATCCAAATCAGAGGAATCATCAAACCGTCTTGAACACCTTCAAGAAGCCATCGCACATCATCACACAAACAAACCAAGCAACCATTTCCATCCGAACATCCCTGCACCTAGGACGGTCCGAATTCCCCAGAAAACATCTCTACCAATTCCCAAAAAACACATCCCCAGGAGGTGTAGCCGCAGGTTCTTCACTCGATTGCAGGCACCGTCCTGCGCCCCCGCCCCGCCTCGGCACCGGCTCACCGCAATCGCCCGGGGGCCCAACAAGCGGCGAACGCAGCGAACGGAGCAGGTTTCCCAGGTTCGTTTCGAACCGTGCAATTGAGTTTCGGCAGTTTTTTCTATTGAATGATATTGAATGGTTTCCTGAGATTTAGTGAAGGAGAGGGTTTGAGATTGGCATCCGCCAAAAGTCCGGGTCGGAAGAGCACGCTTAGCGGTTTGGATTCAAGAATATTAGGAGAATATTAGGAGGTTCTGCATCCAAGGACGGAGACATCGAACCTCAGGTGCTTGGAAGAATGCAAAGAACATTCTGGAACCCAAAGACACTTCAGCTCAAAGGACCAGGTGATCTGGGTTGATGGGTTGATCTACACATGCAGACAGTTCTACTTGATTGGCCCAGGTGTTGCTGGACCTCGTGTGGGTAGGCACATCACTTCCATGTGTGCTCCCTACACTCCGCCGTCACAAACGGCGGTGTTCTCCATTGGTCGCCTGAACAAAGATCGTGATGGGTGCTGATGAGATCCCTGCAAAATCCCTTCCTTCCTACGAAATCGCTGTAGATTATTGCAGATTCACATAGATTCACCCATATTCACCCCATCAGAACTGATGATCGTTCTGTTTTTTGTTATATACTCTATATATAATATAGATTATTCGCCAGGTTGGCGGGCTCTCTTCCCACTATGCATGTGACTGGCTTAACACCATAGGAGTGGGCCCCGCATCGGCTTTCTTTGCAACCAAAAAACCGAGACCATTGCAGCAAGAGAATCTGAAGCCCGCCCCTAATTTAGCCCACATGATAAGCCATGCCTGGGTACCAGGTGTGATCCACCACGCATGAGGTGCTTCCCTTGAAGCTGCGATGCATCGCGACAAGAGCGGTGCCGCGCGGACATGGGTCGTGGACTCACAGAAGAACGAAACGTGGCTCAGCTGGATTTCGCAACAGGAGGGATGACCGTGTGGCAAAGAACCTGGAGTTTTAGACTCAAAGAATTCTTGGGTTTGGTATGGTTTGGTCAAGAATGCTGCTAATTGGTTGGTTTGATCTTCTATTTACAGAGAGGGCCGCCACAATCATCGATGCAAGCATTTGGGCCACATGCGTCATTCTCTTCCATGCTACACAGCTGCAAACAGTGGCATGCTGCCCTGTCTATACACATCTATTCTTTCAACTGCCCGGCCAAACATGTGACCACATTTTCTACTAACCCTTTCGACGCCTCCTCTAACTATGCCTTTACAAAGCCGCGTATTGCAATTACATTTGTACTCCCCCGCACACCCACGTAGTCAAAGTTGAGGGTCGAACATGGAGTTCAGGTATTCGGTGAACCATCCCACATTTATTAGGTCAACCACCCCGAACACATGCCAGCCTCATCTGGGATCAACTTTGCTTGTATACCAGGGGGGCTGGGAAGAACAGACGTTCATGATTATATATGGTTGTCAGGGGTTCCCCCGTTGGCTCCTGAACATGAGAATCAAGTTATAATCCTTTCGTGCAATTCGTGCGTGTTAGATGGGGAGCCGTTGGGTTACCTGCAGAGAGAAGTTAGTTTTATATCAGACCTGAGACGACCGCAACGCAGTCAGATTCCCCGCTCCACTTCTGATCGTTTTTCATTGCGCATGGAACATCCCGGTTGGAGAACTGCATGGCTCTTGCCAAACACTAGCTTTGAATAAAATTGAGACTCAAAGATGTTTGAAGCGTCAATTGGTATAGTGGCATCTCGCCAATTGTATTGGGTTTTCGACCCGGGAGAGTTGGCGGTCTTTCACGCAACGTTAGTATATTGCTGCACTGCTATTGGAGGAAATGGAGATGTGGCAACATGGGCCCTCGCAGTGCTTCCACAGTCTAATCTTTAGATGGTGCGGCATGGACTTATATATTGCTGCGGGTTCAAGCTCCAGCGACACGTGTTTTGCGCAGTGACAGCATGTTCTGGGCACACGAAAGGTATCAACAGCAAAGCTAAGAAGCATCCAACTGGAACCGTCGATGCATACAAGTGCCAATTGATCCACAGCTTGCAACCTATTTCTCATTTGCTATGTAGGACAGAGTTTGCTATGTAGGTTTGAATCTGGGGGTGACACTGTCTTCGGTGACAAAACAAGTCTATTTGGGGCTCAACTTGCAGATTGCATGGACCTGCCTTTGCGTAAATTGCTGATAGACTTGCAAGGCAGATTGAAGCAAAGGCATTATATTCAGCCAATGTAATGTATTGCCGGCGAACTTACAAGCCCTCGCCCGTGCCACATTGCTCTCATCATGCATGCATGCGTGCGTGCATGCACATGCATGCTTGCAGTATAATGCACAAGATCGACGCAAAAGCTATCCTCGCTCCCACACAGAGTATACACAATAGTGCCAATGGCCAATGGATTACACTAGTGTACACCGTGGTGGGGGTGTCCCGAACGCTGGGATTCCCGCCCAGCAACACTGAGCAACAAGAGAGACCTGAAGCATCGGAGAACAAGACCGACGCCCTGGAATGATCATGGAAGTGGAAAATGGATGAAATTGATGAAAACGGTCCCTTTGATATGTTTTTATATGTTTTTCCATGTTTTTCCTTTAGAAGTAGGGGGTCTTCCACGGGTCACTCCGAGTGAGTTTGGGACCTCAGCCTGAGCGACGACTGACCGCAGGAACTTCCTGGTTGGTTTCCTCGGTCTCGAACTGGGAGGTTGGTGCTTGGTGGTTTGTGAGCTTGGTTTAGGTAGTTTAGGTCCAAGTTTCTCCCAAGGACCCTGATTCATGGGATGATGGATTTTCGTTGGCTCTAGGTGCTGCCACGAATCGACACTCAGCAGAACTGGTTTTGATCCAGATCTCATGCCCAGATGTCAGTTTTGTGTCAAACAAAGCAATCCACTTTGAAGATAAACCCCTGAGGTACCCTTGCACTCTTCCCACTCTGCCTGTTTGTTTGTTGTTTTTGTCGTTTTTGTTTTTCCCAGGTGTACTGTTTCGCGCGACTCTTTTTCCTGATCCACCTGATGTGGTGGCGGGACCAGCCTTACTTCAAACTCTCTCCAAACCGACTGAGGCTGGCGGTCCCTTGGCGAGAGTGCTGATGGTCGTTCGGTCGGTGTCGCATGTTCTTGTTTCCAAAGCCCTCATGGCAGAGACCGTGTAGGCCGCAGGACAAGAATACACCCTGCGTCCAGGGTCATCTTAGACTCAAACCTGAGAGTGTGGCCTAGGGCCTAGGACAACAAAACAAGCAAATTGCTCACACTGGCATGCAGTTCGAGTTTCGGGAGGGATGGGGACCGCTTTGGTGGTCGACATGAGAAGAACACCTTCAACACACGTTGCTCAAACTGAGTGTTGGGCACGTGGCCAAGAATGCTGACGAGTGTTGTATTGTCATTGCCGTACCGAGGCCTGCATCAAGAAACCACCCGAACAAGGCCAGAATATGAAACCTGAAAGCGAAAAAACAGGTTCGGAGATTCCCTAAACTCCTAAACCAACCGCGAATGAAAAGCTTCACCTGCCTGGCCTCGGCTTGACATCTATCACCTAACATGTTCAGTGCCCCTGTATGTTAACTGTTGGGCTTGGTTTGGCTCATGGCTGAACTTCAACACTTGGGCTGCCTGCAAACAAGACCTTATCCTCTACACTTCTTTCTACATGTCTGATCCCTCAGGGCTCGAGCCGTCCTAAATTGCCTGGGACCTGGCGTTTTCTTGCAGGAGGGTATTTGTCAAGATGAAGATGGAATGAATCCACCACACTTGCAATCTCACCAACTCTCCCCTGTTGGTCCATCCATGTCCGACCTGCTGCCACGGACCAAGATTACCTCCCAGCAGGCGGGTGTGTGGGTCAGTCATCCAAGAATTGGGAAGGAGGTACAACGACCATGTTCGGCATGTTGCAGCAAGGATGGAATTTAGCTATGTTTCTAGATCCGAAGTGAGTGGAAATTGCTTCCTATGCACTTCTACATCATTCCTTGTCAACACCTGGCAAGCTCTTCGTGCAGATCAGGCAGGTTACAGTTGGACATGTGATCCAGCACCACTTCGAACTGGCTTTACGTATGAATCGCATTGACTCATATCCTCAGGTTGGGTTGAAACCACCCAACCACTCAGTCTAGGGTTTTGGATGGTTTGAGTAGTGGTTTTAGATGGTTTTTGTATATGTTTCAGTCAGCTGTTGGATTTGAACCTTCTCTTTTTCCCAGGCGAACTCGCCTTTTTTGTTTTTGTGGTGTTGGCTGCTGGCCAGTGCCCTCTGCGAGGCGACCATGCGGGCATGCTCTTCACAGGTGAAGCGCATGACTCCGGCCATGACACCAGCTCAACAGCACGAGGAGAGGCACAGGGCATTTGCGGGCAGCCTGTCCATCCTGCTGTGGACCGAATGGTTTGTCTACAAAGCGGGCTGTTGGTCGTACCATGATGAGTCCGATGGAGTTCAGCATGAAGCAGATAGTGAATGGTTGCAGTCCAATGTTGGGTCCAGATTCCAGGATGGATCCAACTGGAAAGTGCTATTGTGGATCTCTTCAGAAAGAAGAAACACGAGCAACATCGATCAGCCATGCTTGGCCTTTTTTTGTTTTGTGGATTCAGTTTTTGGAGTCCATTTGGCGCCTGAAATCATGGAGTCTCCGCCAGGAATTTGTACTGAAACTGCCCGCCAACTGGCAGCACTACACTCGCGCCCACGAGAAGGCCCAGAAAGCCCAGAGAAGTCAGAGGAATTCCTATTCTTGTCACCTGTATAGACCATCTATTAACTTGTCTTGGACTCTCAGGGTGTACATCATAATGCTACAATATGCTACAATGTTATATAATGTCGCTAATATCCAAAAAATACTTTGTAAAAAGCAAAACCTGCACCGCCCTGCACCACAATGGATGTACATAAGTGCCAGGACATGTCCCTATCGCCCTATGGGCGGGCCTATGGTTGTGGATGATTTCATTTGGAGGGTTGTTCATGGAAAAACTTTCTGAATCCGTTGGATCCAGAGGGCTCGCCATGGCTCGCCTTGGTCCCTCAGAACCTAGAGAGTTGAGACCTCAGGCCATCCCTTTTTTTCTATGAGGGTCCATGAGAGTTTGGGTGTGTGAACTCAAGCTTCTCCATCTTTCCAGGAATGTACCACTCATCAAAAACCAAGAAACCACTGGATCACACCATGTGTTTTTCACAGTTTACTGTAGTGGGTTGGTACTAAAAACCTCCAGTCCCACGTGGCGGAGCAGCAACGCCTGGCGTCACGAGGGATCGGATAGGGTGACCCTAGCCATACTTGTGACCTTGCCCATGATAGGGGATCCATTTTTGGTGACCTGCTTCCGTGACCTGATTGTTTTTGTGTTTTTTTTCTTTTTTGTGGAGGGTTGTCTTTGGACCAAGCCGTCAGTGGGTCTTGCTTGTCATGAGAGGCTGCATCCACTTACCCAACCGGATCCGTCGGTGCCTATCCTGGTCGTCCTCCGGTCGAAGAAATCCGTCTCATTACGCGCAGGTCTTCCAGAGAAGAGAGGCGCAAAGTTTCTGCTGGACTGCGCATCCTAACATGTTCCTAGTACGTTCAAGGGTTACCTATATAGTCTTATATAGTATATCATATTATTATATATAAAATAGTATAATATATAATATATAGTATATCACACTATATGAGAGTATAGTATATCTTCGATTAACTACGTTGAAATTTACGAAGCTTCCCAGAGGCAGCGCAAACCCGTCTCCCGGGTGGTGTACTGGTGTCCCGAACCCGTCTCGTTGGATCGGGCAACCAAAAGCAGGCAGTTCAGCCCGGCCCGTTTTGCGTGTGTGTAAAACGAAGCCTTGAGCACATATGTAGGTGCGCAATGTATAGTAATAATTACACCCCAAACATGAACAGAGTTTCAGAAGCTCCAAGAAATAGTAAGTGCATGTAAATGCAGGGACCTATTTGCTGAGCTATATTTTAACCTACTTGGAGCACCAGACATGATCTATTTGGATCTACAATGGGTATCTCTATTTTGACCAGGAAGGTGTGGATTCACACCAAGACACTCGCTTGACTTGGCCACCAAGACACCCGCACAGCCGCCAAGGCAGTGATTGAGAAAGCCAAGCGGGAAGAGGTCCGGTGTGATGGCCTCCGCCGACAGCTTTAGCATGCTGAAGCGACTGAAGTGACTCATGCTCCGTATTTTGGTTCTAACGACAGGTAGCGAAGCGAAACGAGACCCATCCGACGGGTGGTGAAGGATGGGTGGATGGTCCATGAAGTAGGTATTGAAAGAAGGAGACTGCGCCCTTGCGGTTTGTTCCACATCAGTGCAGGAGGAGCTCATGAAGACCTTGGCCTTTGATGCGCAGGAGGAACTCCCAGCTGAGGAAGCTCCTTCACCTTCAGTGGCCGCTACCTCAGTGGCGGATGCGAAACATTCTTAGGTTTGCTAAGCTATGTTTTGTATAGGCGTTCTTCAAAATCTATATTCTCACGTTTGGGTCCCCCTCAAACTTTTGAGGCAGTTACATTGGTGAGAGGCGCCCTTCCCCTTTCACACGGAGTGTAAAGGATCCTCATGTGCAAATGTGCGCAAGACATGAATCACTACGCGTCTTTGCGGGTCGTGGAATCCGTCGGAATCCGTTTGCAGGTTCAACGGGTCAATCTTAGACCACTTTTCAAGTGACGAGCTTGCCCAGTTCAAGGGTTTGATTTTCTGTTTGTGGCAAGGTGGATGTTGATGCGCGACTGGTGCAGCCTTAGGGGTCAAATATTTATATAGAGCTTGGCGCAAATCCAGCCGTTGGGTCACAAGAAACATCAAGAAACATCAAATCTCACCCAACCAATTTGATGCTCAGTGTGCTGGAAGCCGCAAGCAGGCTTGCGACAATGTGTTTTCTTGCATAGCGGGGCATTGTCAAGTTCGATTGAAAGAAGATTCGATGACATCCTTTATGCTGAAGAGGGCACTCGCGAATTAACTGCGCCAGAAGAACAATCCTCACCGGGCTTCTTGTAGAACAGCATCCGCTACTCTCATGCACCACATGTTCCTGGTCCTCCTCCTAAGCGCTTATTGTGTATAAATATATATATATATATATAATAACAGAAATAATCAAAACACAATGGGTTTCCACACATGTTGAAGCGAAACAGGGATGCTCTGGCATTTGCCTTCTACATTCAGCCCACGGTGAATGCGCCACGTTTCCAGGAGAGCGAGGGCTGGATTTGGGACCGCTCCATGGATGGCTTTACGAGGGCTTCTGGGCGGAAATCGACAGTGCTTTGTGCTGTCCACAACCCAAACACGACCGATGGGACTGGCATATTTACATGTATTTGGGGTGGTTGAAAAGGAGTCAAACATATACTGCAATAAATATCTAATACCAGACATGGGGGTGTTTGTGTTTGGGCTATGGTGTCTCAATGCAAAGGATGACTGCCTGCCTGCCTGCCTGGCTGACAACTGACTCCACTCGTCAGAAATGCATCCATTTTTCAGTGCGAGAACTCCAAATCCTCCGTGTTCACCGCGTTCTTCTCGTGCTCCAAAGGCTTTAAATTATTCAAGATGATCCATGATGATCCATGAAACATTTGAGGAAGAGTTGATGAGTAATAGCTGGTGCATGGATCTAGCTCAGGAGTTTTCAATCCACGATCCATGAGATATGGTGCATAGAACTTCTCAAACTGGAGCTCCAAAGGATCTGGGGATCTGCCATGGATCCGCCTCAACCCATCGTGCAGATCGGTGCCCTTTTCCCGTCATGCGCCGCATGCGCGGGGCTTGAGGTGTCCGAGCGGCCGACGTCCAAGATAGAGACGGAGACCTGGCCAAGTCCCGTGATCTCGAGGCTGGCGATCCCGGGATCGCTCAGGGGATGAGAAGACCGTTCATTTTTGAAGGAGTCAGGTCCTAGTCAGAACCTATGTCAGGATGTGCCAGGTGAAGTCTTGTCATCAGTGCTTTTTTGTTTGCTTGTTTGTTCTTGTTTTTCTGTGGGCAACCGAAGATAGAATTGCTGAAGTCTTTAGTTTAGCTGAGCTCATCCACGCGTTGAAACATTGGAAACATAGGATTTGGTCCTTGGATTCAGAGACTTCTCATCCACTCACGTGCATATCACATCGTGACCCTTTCCAGCTATTTAGTTTTAACTATATAGTGACTTGGTCGAGGTGTCGCACAGGTGTCACATCTGAGTGGCTGTTTGTCTACCTGACTGCAGAATCGCCACCGGAAACGGGGCGGCAAGCCGCCACCTTTCACCAGGTTCGGATGTGTCCAACGGCGCCATCCATGTCATTCGAACCTCAGGCGGCCGAGCCCCAGCCCTCGCAGTGGGCACAGTAGCAAGCAGGGGAGCCCAGAGACGAGCGGTGGGCAGTGAAAGCTGAGCGGGAACAGGGGGAAAATAGATGGGTTTTGACCCGGAACTATATATGGATATATATGGTATTTACAAAGTTCCCCAATGCCACATAGACCTTCATGGCTCTATGAGCTCTATGCTATACTGTGCTTTGTGCAGGCAGGTGCAGTTGGAATTATATTACTTTACTCCATGCGAGTCGAGCATTTGGTGGGGGGATATCCTTTTTGTGTTGTTTTGGGGTGATGTTTGACTCGATTGAGAAGCATTGGTGCAGGAAGTTTGCAAAAAATTGCCTGGATTTGGTTGCGCTGGTGTTTAATCAATCTTTGCTTGGGAAAGGAAAGACAACCGGATTCCCAAAATCCGAGAAGCAAAAAGCTTTATTTAGGAGGGACAGGGCGGGATATTTATATATATAAATAGGGCATCAGGCTTTATGGCGCGTACCCTTTGGAGGTTGATTTTAGACCATGGACCATCGTCGATAGTTGTTTGATGAAGAACATCATAAATATTCTAAAATCTATAAGTTGTTTTACCCAACAATTTTGTGATTCCAATGGACAATGACTGACCACCTCCAGAGATCACTACCTCCCCACCAGTGACTGCTTTGCGTACTTGCACGCACTTATTGGCAGATTGAATGCACGAGGTCGACCCTTAATGTTGCAAAAACCCAGTTTCAAAGCTTTTTGACCCCGGTTGTCAATATGTATAATGTACAAATATATAATTTATGTTTTACAAATTTGACACCTTCCTTTTCCCATCAAATATGCAATGTGTTCCGACCTAAGTACCTTCTGACGTGTCCTCCGACATTTGTTCATATATATGATGTTTGTTTTGACATGTGTTATCACACGACACCTTCTGACAGACAGTTGTTGTATCATCATGGTTGTTCCGACATTTGGCAGGTCTGATCTGTGTTCTGACATTTAAACAACTGGTTTCCTCATTTGTCCTCCACTGCTCCATCCTCTGTCCGACCTTTTCCAAGGCTCTCCTTTGCCAGCACCAGTCCGCGGCCGCCGGCGGTGAACGAGCCGCTGCAGGTGCTGGAGGAGGTGCCACGAGAGAAGAGCCTCGGACGAAACGTTGTCTGGACGAAGGTGACGAACGTGCGAAGAGTGCATGGAATCAGGGTGGCAAGGTCCAAAGGAATTTGTACCACACATTATGAGTACATAGAGGTTTCAAACATACAACAATGTTTTTATCCAAGCAAAAGCAGGTCTTTGATGGTTTGGGAGGCCCTTGGTAGTGGGCACAGCGACCCGTTTGTCGCAGTCTAAGGCGTATCCACGATATGGACGGTATGACGTATCCACGAATCCACGCAACGACAGCAACGAAACAGATCCACCTCCTCGAGTCGGATGAGAGTCGGCTCTCGGACGTAGATCCGCAGAGCTTTTGGAGAATAGAGATGACATTCCGCTCCGTATAAAACAGGTTCTATAATGGTCCATATGATTTATTACCAATATAGGTCTATATTTTTTTTAACTGAGAGGAAGTGAAATAGGAGTCTTCGAACGTATGCCAAACACAGTAATCCTACTAGCGACGGTCTCCAAACCAGTAGCACTGGCCTCCAACCTACTAGCGGTTACTAGCGATGGCCTCCAACCTCATAGATGGAAGGGTGGGAGGAAAAGAAACAACGGATGCACAGTCACACAGTCACTGATGGGACCACTGTGGCCACTGTCTTTTTTACTTATTTTTCCGTCTGGAGGTTCCACAACTCCTATCTTATCCTTTTGCAGAGGTCTTGCATTCTAGCTGAAGCAACATGAGTTAGGACTTGTTGGTGGGCGCTGCCCATCTCACTTGTGCCACAACTCCTATGTCATTTGCGGGTAGTATAATGGTCTATATTCATCCATATTCTATACATACTTGTTGTTTTCAATGTTTTGCCTAGTGTGCCGTGCTCTCGTCGCGTGGTGCTCCGCCTTCTTCGCTCCGCACCTGCGTCGCTCCCTTCTGCGTCAATCGCAGAGGTCCGATCCCAGCCCGACGAGCTCGAGGCGAGGAGTCTTCAGTGCTCAGGGTCCACACCATGGGGCGTGGCGTGGCTTTTCTTGGAGAGTAGTCTGGTCAAGTCCAGGAGCAGGCTGAACTTCCGAAAAGAAGAATCGTTATGAATCAGAGTTGATGGTGGTTTTGCGGGTTTTGGAGGGTTTTGAGGATTTCCAACAGGGGGGAAGGACACTTCCATGGACCGTCGAGGTGACTGGCACAGTCCAAAGGAGTGAGGTCGCCAGAGTGGTCTGATGGTGACCAGGGCTACTCAGCTTCAGAGCTTGGTTCCTTCAGCTTGGTGTTCCTTCAGAGCTTGTTTTTGAATGATGTGGAGACAGTTGCAATTAGCCCTGGCGACAGATTCTTGCACCCAGCTTGCAAGACTCTCACACCAGGCAGCTGCATGAGCCGCCCGAACTGCCAGAGTCGCCAGAGCCGCCCGGCCCGGGCACCATGAGTCCTTCTTCGACGCTGGGCGACCCCAGTCCTCAGCGAGCACGCCCGGCCAGCGCGGCTGGGCTGAGACGTGGACGCCCTGGCAGCGGCAAGAGGCCTGGAAGTGCTGGGAGGCCAGCCAGTGCTAGCGCAGTGAGACCAGCTAGTGCCAGTGCCGTGAGGCCAGAAAGTGCCCTGAGCTGAAGAAGTGGAATACCAACAGACAGAATAATATGACAGAATGGTCGCAGAAGCAAGTTCGTGAAGCACCCACGGGACTTCACCTTCGATCTAGTTCTAGTTCTAGTTCGACCGCATTTGATTACATGTGATATAATTGCATTATTTTGTATATGGGCAGTATATCAGGATCTTAAAGGCTTTTTCTGACATTCATCCACCGGGTGGTCTCAACATGTCTCAACTACCCGCCCGTCCAAGGTGCTAGTACATCGAGTCTCAGCCGACCCTCAAGTGCAACACGCTTCTTTCAGGATGCGGAAGGATCAGGGGGTGCATTGGTGATTTTTGTTCGGACATACCCCTGGCGGTGCATGGTGTAAAATCTTTGGATCAACGCACCATTGTTCCCAACATTATGATGTTCAGTTCAAACCACAACTGGTAACTGAAAGCGCCCTGTCAAGGAATATCATTGTCCTAAGCCACGGCATTTTCCGAAGCCGTTAGCATAGACCCACAAGTCGGACAGTGCTCCATGTCTCAAAGCGTGTCGTGCAATATATAGAAGTTGTAGCATGTGGATTCGCTTTTTCCAAAGGCAACCAGAATCAAATGCATTTGCCATATCCATCCACATGATCCATGTTCAGGATGTGTGAACCTCACAGCCTGACAGCCCTGGTTGTTCGCCACTCTGCGGGGCTAGCATGTGGTTGGTGCACTTGCAGCCAAGGCTGTCATCCTTTCACGTTCTTCAGGATTTGCACCCACCCAGCCACAAACCCACAAATCAAAGATTGACATAGGTATCTATTTGATGCAATGTGGTTCTCGTTTGGGGCCATTGGGGCACGTCCTTTTCTTTTGAGCCGTGCTCAGGACTTCCTCTCCAGCAAACTCAGCCGCGTCTCGAGGACAGGGGTATGGAGGTTCCTTCGTCCAGGGAGTTTGTGGCGACTATGATCATACACCCACTGTATGACTCTCACTGGGTTCATTCGGTTGCTGACATTGCTTGGGGCAGGGGCTTGTACCCAAGTACCGTATTTGACCCCCCACGCCCATGTTGACTTTTGGTGGCACGCACAGACGCGCTTGAGGCTCATATCGAGCTCCAAGCTTAAGTTCACAAGTTGGGGCAATCTGTGCCAATGTGCACCTGACGGGATATTGGAGTTCTTAATGTTTGGGGTCACCATCGATTGGTTCAAAAGTGTTCATCCGCCCTTCTCATGTTCGATTCTTCACTGTGTCGTCCACGGCAGGCCCAGCTCCGCATTGACCAGAGCCTCCTCGTCCACACGGCTCTCTTCAGAGGTGGCCCTTGGAGGCGACGGTGCCACGTAAATAATGGTCGACTATGGATGAATAGACAACAATAGAACATAATAGACAGATAGCCTATAGCCTATAACATAAAACAGCATAATATGGAGATGAAGAACCATCGTTACCAATGAGCAGGGGTGTCTTGATTGGATCAACCATCAATTTCTCAGCTTGTGCAAGCTGCCTTGGAGCATTTCTCCCACAGGACTCCGAGGGCTCCCAGCCCCTGAGAGAGAGAATCCTCACCCGAGTCCTAATTGGCAATGTATTTGTGCTGCCCCTTAAGCCTGGGTGCGGGGGTACACCCAAAATACCGATTGATTTTTGTTTGAAGGTGGGAAGTCACCAAACTGGGAGTGTTCAGAACTAGCTTAGCTGGAAGACCAGAGGGGCTTATTGGTGCTACACCACTGTTTTTGGCGCGGGTGTGAAACTTTGATCTTAGTGCAGCAGTGCGGCAAACTGGGTGTCGCCAGAAAAGTGCTTGGCTTCAAATAAGAGACGTAAACTGTCCCAATCCTCAACATGCTCAGGGCTCCAATTACATCCTTTCAACAAAAACGCAGACCTCCCAGTCTGCAGTGGACAACGAGTCAACCAACCCCTGCACTCAACGAGTCGCTGCATCCTCGACGAGGCAGCACACCCACTGGCCCCAGTCCTCTCCGTCCGGACGTCTATGGGAACCTGGCGCCGCCTAGCCATGGAAAAGAGGAACATGTGGGCGTGAGTCCACATTGATCGGTCCATGGTTTTCAGGATCTGCCCCACTGACCGTGTGACGACCAACTGAGAGAAAGATGAGAGTCCAGTCGATTGGGAGATATCTTAGATGCAATCTTCAAAGATCTTTAGAGTATCCACTTGGGGACCACAGTAGCCGCTCAGTAGCTTTGTCACAGTGACCACCTGTCCATAATCCAGACATTCACACTTGGCAGTACGTGTTTGGAGGGATCGCTAGCTGAGTACTGAGCATAAAAAGGTAAACTGAACTTTATGCAATGGGATAACAACCCCCCAATGATGGTCTCAACAAGCGGAAAAGAGCTTGCATCAATGCAATGTATATAGGTGGTGTGTTCGTGTGTTTCCAACAAATCCGAGGGCCACGCTTGATTTTATGAGGGGACAAGAACCAGTCCGTCACGTTGGGATGAATTGTCACAGTTTCGAGTGCCGAGGTCCTGGTTCCAGGATCGACGGAGTTTCTTCACCAAGTACTAAGCTGGCTGATGTGGAGGAATCACAAAGCGCATACGTATCTTTTCTCCACTGCTTTTGGAGGTTTCCAGATCTCACTTCATCTCACAGTATCGTGTAAGACTCCAGAAAGACGACGTCCCAACTGCTCCAGACCCAGCGTTCAATTGGATCCTCATGGCTTTTGAAACATATGTGAGACACCCTGATGCATTGGCGCATGAAACATCTATATCATCTATCAACAAAACAATGGCCGACACCGCGAATGCGCAAATAGAAAGGACATGGTTGGCATTTGATCAGATTTATTAGGGGCGGAGACTACGCCTCCATCCAGCAAGTGCAGACGTGCTCATTGTTTTGTAAGATAGGCTTCCATGATTCCTGAAAGGAATCTGAAGAAGATCTGTCCAGCCAATGGTGCATCTCTTGTCTAACATACCAAGATGGTGCATCGCTCGCCCAGCTCGTTCGTTGATTCTCCAAACATCCCAGTGGTCCATGGTGGCTTCTTTGCAACTTGCTCCACTATTCGTTACATCATACGAGCACAAGAGGTGTGCAAGGATTGCAACAAACACCACCATTATTTGCCGCAATTTCAAAAACAAACTCACTCATTGTCAAGGCAGAGAAAAGAACAACACGTGCTTGGACAGACAGACAAGAGCTGCAGTGGATAGATCTGCGATAACGAATCTCAGACTCGCTGTTCGGAAAAGAACGGAGACCAAAAGAGACGTTTGGTTCGGCAGGAATCATTCACAGATCGAGGATTTCTGCAGATGGCCGGGTCTTCACTGAGTCCTCACTGGATGTTGGTGTTGAAAAGAGGGGTGCAGACATGGCGAATATATAGGGTTCCAGACATCCTTTGAGAAGGTCTTTGATCAGAGTCGGTGGTCCTATGCCAGAAAAGACCCAGAAGGCCTGTAAAAGCGACTGTGAGAGTTGTTTGGATCCCCCGCCGACACCAATTGAAGCTGTTCTTCAGAAGGTCTCACATGGTTCTCACCTTTGAGAGTCTTTCTTTTAAAGTGTTTGAGGAAGAAGAGGACTTGGTCACCTGGATTGTCCGTCGGATTCGACTTTGGCACGGTTCCCAACATCGACTCTCGCTTTGACTCTTCGTGTCGGGGAGACCCACGCTCTGCGCATCGAGCTCCGTTTTGCGATGACTCCGTGAGTTGCGCATCGAGCTCCGTTTCGTTGAAACGACTCGTGTCGCAGGAACTCAAAACACATGGATGTTCTGGGCACCATGGATGTTCTGTATGACTCAGTCCAGAGGAAAAACGCGGAGATGTCCTGGTCGAACCTGAGGCAACTGAGCCTAAACCAACCGAGTCTGATTTTGGATCCACATCTCGGTCGCTTGTTCCCTTCCCGTGCCGTGAAGAGGTCTCCGGTGTGCCGCCGGCGCCGGTCAAGGTGCGGATCAATCACGGGAGGCCGGTCCCGGCCGCGGAGGAGATGGCTTTAGGATAGAACGGAACATATACCGGTGAACAGAATGTTTGGGTGAACAGGGTAAAGTACACACAATATCAAACAGTCATGAATGTATATCGCTGTTTTTTTCAGATAGATGCAGATTCATCCGGTGATACATGGCGGGGATTGAGATGGGTTTTGGTTTGCGGGTTCATCCTCGTTTGTAAGCAATGATTCCACGATGTGGGGTCAGAGTAGCAGGTAACTGTTCGACACCTTTGTTTTGGTGGCTGGTGAGCACAACTTGCAATGGTCTCCATGAAACATTCTGAAGCATGTTCCATTTTCACACCTTTTGTTTGGTGTTTATTGAAACCCATATCTATCCTCCCTTCAAGACGTCATGGAATGGTGCTCCAATGGGGTACGCTGCATCATGAACCTTCCAAGATCCACATCTCAGAAGATGTTTGGGGGTAGCCTCTAGCCGCTAGCCGCCTCGAGGAGATGGTCTCTGTGTTTCTGGCCACTCGGCCGCCCGGCCAGGCTCGGGGTCTTTGTGGTGATCAGCGATGAAGCCGGCGGGATCTCGGTGGCTCGGCACGGGTAGCCGAGCCACGGGTGTTTGGTGGGTCGGTCTGTTGGACAGTCTGCCGTAAAGAAGACTCTATACTCATATGGTGCAAAATGTGTAAGGATCTATCACTGAAAGAGAAACGACTTTGGATGGCAAATTCTGTTGGTGCTCTTCTCCTATTTGAGTCCGGTAGTGAAGTTGTTCAGGAAATGTCATGATGGCTGCGTCCAAATTTCCCGCGGATTGCACCATTCCAACAATGCTTCTGATAGGAGCTAACTGGATCTAACTTG